AAAAAAGATGTCCACACCAGTTTACCCTTCATGTGCTGTCATTGGAGATAGATCCAGGGTCCATATATCAGTGTGTTCCTCCACCTTGCCAAGTTTGAAACCAAAAGCTGCTCAACACACTTAGAATATAAAACAAAATCCTTTATTATAAAAAAAAAGCAAGGCAAGTACAAAAAATACGTTCCTCTGGATGACTTGTTTCCACCACTTGGGTCTTTCCCATGATTTGATAAAGACCTGAGTGGTTGAAACACATATTGTAGGACTTTCAAAATGGTCTTATAGAGGATAACCATTTACATATACTTGGCCCTCAGTTCTCCAGGTAAGCTTGCCAACACATGCTCCTCCACATCCAGTCCCCCTTTCTTCATTTGTGAGCAGTTGCTGATCTCCTCCGGCAAGGTTGTCAGGTTGTTCCCTGTGAGCTCCAAGCTAGACAACAAAGGCAGCTGTCCAATCTGGGAGGGTATACTGGAAAGTTTATTAGAACCTGCGTGGAGAGACCTGAGCCTAGAGCAGCGGAACAGCTCGTGCGGCAGGGAAGAGATCTGATTGGCCGTAACTGCCAACGTCTCCAGCCGTGTGAGGTGACCAACTTCTGGAGGGATAACTCTGATAAGGTTATAGCTTACATCTAAATATCTCAACCTCACCAGGTTGAAGAGAGGAACTGGCAAGTTATCAAGCTTATTATGGGAGATGGAAAGTTCCTCCAAATTAAGCAAAAATGCAATGGATGGTGGAAGCCGACATATGGCATTGTGACACAATCTTAATATGGTAAGACTTCGAAGACGTTGAAGAGTATCAAGTTCTGCAACATTCCGGATGAGGTTGGATGACAAATCTATGTATTGCAGGCTTGTTAAGCCAGAAATTGCACTAGGTATTTTTGAGATCTTGCAATGGCTGAGATTGAGGGTCACCAGGCGGTTCATCTTTCTTAGCTGGCCCAATGAGTCAAGCTCAGTGTCTCCATTCTGTATGCTGAGCTTTGACAGCTGGCCAGCCACGTCCATCACAGCTGATGGTATGTGGGATAAGTTGCTCGTCAGAGAAAGAGATCGTAGGCTACCAAGCCCGTGCAGGGATTGTAGACGGATGGTCTTGTTGCTGGAACAGCTGAGGTTGCCAGATAGGTACAGCTCCTGTAAGTTTTTTAAACAGTACATCCAAGATGGAAGCTCCTCCAAGTCTGTGAATCTAACATAAAGAATTTTCACCCGCTGTTGGAGAACTCTAAGCGCGTCAGGGTCCAGTTTGAGAGAACAATGGCTGATGTGGAGCTCGGAAAGCGACTTAAGCTGGGACACCGCTCCTAGAAACCTTGCAGATGAGATCAATTCCAGCTTGAGAACCTCAACCTCATTCAGTTCATAAACAGATTTTGGTATTGCTGGTAACATTGAAAGCTGCAGTTCAAAATGTCCTTTGGCATCCCTTGTAATTGTATCTTTCAACTTGTCCGTTGACCATTCAGAGTTGAGTGCAAGCTCTCGGAGCCGCTCTTCACTCACGGCCGAGAGAAATACAGAAAATCGTCTGGAGTACAAGGAGTCGTAGCGGTCCACCATGTGCAACATGAAGGCGAAGTCATTCTTGATGTCAGGAATGTCTCCAAATCCAGTCTCGTCGCTGTGTTTTTGAAAAGTGTAGGTCTTGAGTGAACTTCTGAACAGCCAAAATAGGGCATAAAGGGACAAAAAGGCATATAGGCAGAGAAGCAGAATATAAGTCAACAGAATTTTTTCAAGTATGAAGGCCAAGTTGTGTGTGCAGGTGAAAATGGAATACCCCATGAAGTTCCGTATACCAGGTTTACAGGTATGCTGGAAACTGAACGAGCCCATCAAGCTCAGTGCATACCCAAGCACTAATGCGTCTATGATCACTTTAAACACGGTCTGTCCTACGTAGACTCTGTAGACAACATCCGAGTTTTCGGCATGGCTACGGAAATGTCGTATCTTCTCAAACAAAGCTTTAGCCTGTTCTTCCTCCTTTTTATCCAATATGGTGGAGACTGGGAGCTGAATGGCAGGAAATCGAACTTCACTGAGAAGTGGCGTTCTAGGGGAATAGTCCGCAGAGCGCGTGCTACTGAATTTTGCACGGTTAATCCCTGGTGGAGGTTGGTCGGTAGTCTCCTCAAGTGCTTTAGTGGTCCACGGAGATTCAAAGCATTTGGCCAAAATGGAAAGAAAGTGCTCAACTTTCGATGAGGTTTTGGGGTACTTAAACCAAAAATTGCTGCTGACCAGTAAAACCAAGGTGTTGATAAGTATCATGTAAGGGAAATATTTGGACTGCCAAGGTACCACCTTGTGGTAACAAACGACACTCACATACATGTATTGCTGATAGTCCAAGTTGGTTGAATGGCCAATCGCTCTTGGAGCTGAAGAAGGCTTAATTCCTGCTTCAATAAAGCCACTTGATAAGGACCTGTCAGGCTCCTCCGTCTTTGGCATGCACACAACCTTATCCGTTGTCACAAGAAGCGTGGCAGAAAAGAAGGACGCCATGAGCATAAGAACAAGAAGATAATCCATGAGAACGTCCCACCATGGCTTCAGGGCCTTGAAATGGGTCTGGGATTCGGACAAGCTGGCAGCCTCGCTCACAGTTATCATTCCTGAAATGAGAAACAAAGGATTTATTATGAGGAAACACCTAACGGCTAGGTGGTAATGGGGTTTGGGAAACGGCATAGGCTGTTTAAGGGTCAAAAACTGAGTGTTTGGGGCTCAGCTGAGGTTGACTTTTGCAAATTTGCAGGGGAACAGTAACAATTTAGAAACGTTTTCTAACCATACCCGCTGGTAATTTCCTTTGACAGAGGCCAGTCAACAGGCTCAGCATCCACCCACAGACAGGAGGTTGTTACTGTGATCGAACCAAATACTGTGAGACTAGGTGACGGGTCTTCTCTTGCCTATGAGCCTTAAAGAAGAACTCAGGAAAATCAAAAACTTACCCTTGCAGTGGGGCTACCCCCCACACTGCAAGGGTTAAGTGCCTATTTTATCTAGGGGGTCAAATAAAGGTGGACATACTCACCCGGTCTTTGGTCCTGCTGGGCTGCCCGACTGGTCCCCACAGCCTCTTCTACTCCAGCTTCCAGTGGTCTAAAATTCTCTGATGTCACCATGTCTTATGCAGATCCATTGAGCGGCATTAGACATGGGGACACCAAGGGACATTTCATAGCTCAAGCTGAGGGTGAGAGAGGTGCAGCTGACCGCTGCAGGATTGAGGGTCAGGTGAGTAAAACTGCTTTATGTTAGCCCCGTAGCCCAGGGATGGGAAACTCTGGCACTCCAACTGTTGTGGAACTAAGTCCCATGAGGCATTGCAAGACCCTGGCAGTTACGGGCATGACTCTTAGAGGCATGTTGGTATTTGTAGCTAAAGCACAGCTGGAGGGCCAGAGTTGTCCACCCCTGCTCTAGACCAGACCTAAGGAAGCTCCGTCAATGTAAAAACTACACTGCACTGCACATTAAACGGAAAAAAAAAAATCTTGCTTGGAGCCCAGGCCTCCCCGGCCACCTGGGCCCCTCACACAAGTACCGGCTGTACCCCCCTGATGGCGGTCCTGGCCGGTGACTCAGATCGCGACCCCCCTGTTGACTTGTGGGACCCCACATGGGGTCGCGATCCCCACTTTAAGAAGCACTGCTCTAGACAACATGAGCACTTAACCCTTGCAGTGTGAGGGTTGCCCCACTGTGAAGGAAAGTTTTAAAATTCCCCATAGAACTTGCTTAAAATCCTCCAACAAGAGCCTCTTCTTTTCCCCAAAAAAGATTTAGCTTCGTAGACAAATATCTAGAGATCTAATGCTCAGATGAAAACACATACAACTGATACATACTGCCTTCTCTTTCTGCTCTTAATGACTCCCTGCAGACTTTCAATTAGGGAGAGACAGTCTGAAAGCAAACACCCACCACTGAGCTTTCTTTCTAGAATACCCAATATGCCGTATGACCCCATTAGATATACAATGTCTGTAAATTAACTATTGTGAATAATAAAATGAATACATTATCAGATTCAAACTTCACATGAGAAATCTAAACTAATATTGGCCCCATAGTAAAGATTATGTATGAAGACTAAGAACCTCTGTAAAGTTTTATCGCTATGTCTCTGCTGTGAAGGTTCTCTCTCTCTTTTTGTCCTGGTGCCCATTTGTACCAAGAGTGATAGGAAAATCCAAACTGGCACCATGGTCACCAGAACAAGAGGGGAAAGTAAACCTTTGACGGGACAAGGTCCTTTAGCACCCAAGGCAGGGGCGGGCTGTGAACACATGGGGCCCCGGGCAATACGAGATTATGGAGCCCCTTTTGCTCTGCCCATATACACACCCACCAACAATCCCCACCTATCCACAAGGCCCACCCACATATACATTCTTGTGTTGCAGAAATTATCTCTCCTCACTGTTATTCACAATAGCCGGTCTATTCACTGAAAAGTGAACTGCATGGGAAATTGGTAGAAGAATTTGGAAAGTCTACACCAATATAGGCGATTTGGAAAGTGAGCTAATTGGCAGAAATGTTCTGGTTGGGATATTTTGACCTAGATTCTTCAATTCTGCCAATTATCCTGAGTGACTTGCAGGAGAATTGGTAGGAGAATTGGCAGGGGAACTGAATGATCTAGGACCGGAATGGGGGTTTGGGTGCATTTTGTATGTGCGGTATGCAAACCCCCCTCCGATGCGTGCGGTAAGGCCCCGAATGGTCAGTCTGCCCAAATAGTCAGTCTGCCCATGACTAGAACCAATGCGTGGCAAACCTCGTACCAGAACCAATACGTGGCAAACCTCGTACCAGAACCAATGCATTGCAAACCTCAGACAAGAACCAATGCGTGGCAAACCTCAGACCAGCATCAATGCATGGCAGACCTCCGACCAGAACCAATGCATGGCAAACCTCGTACCAGAACCAATGCATGGCAAACCTCAGACCAGCATCAATGCATGGCAGACCTCAGACCAGAACCAATGCATGGCAAACCTCGTACCAGAACCAATGCACAACAAACCTCAGACCAGAACCAATGCATGGCAAACCTCATACCAGAACCAATGCATGGCACATCTCAGACCAGAACCAATGCATGGCAAACCTCGTACCAGAACCAATGCATTGCAAACCTCAGACAAGAACCAATGCGTGGCAAACCTCAGACCAGCATCAATGCATGGCAGACCTCAGACCAGAACCAATGCATGGCAAACCTCGTACCAGAACCAATGCACAACAAACCTCAGACCAGAACCAATGCATGGCAAACCTCAGACAAGAACCAATGCATGGCAAACCTCGTACCAGAACCAATGCACAACAAACCTTAGACCAGAACCAATGCATGGCAAACCTCGTACCAGAACCAATGCACGACAAACCTCAGACCAGAACCAATGCATGGCAAACCTCAGACCAGAACCGATGCATGGCAAACTTGGCAGCCGCTGCCTAACCATGAGACGTGTTAAAGTGGCCATGGCAGGGTCTGGTGGAACCGGGGGACATGTGTGCAGGCTGGAAGTGGGTGAAAGGGCAGTGGGGGGTGGTGACAGGCCCCCTCCTTACCCCGGGCCCTTGAGGAGTGCCCAAGAGCTTGAAGGTAAAAAGGCCAAGCTGCTCCCCCCATCCATAAGCTGTGAACTAAATCAGAAGTATAGTTTTTGCGCCCCCTCCCCCCCCCCCTTACTGAAGTGGCGCGGGTGACCACCAGCTCTGTCTTCCCCTTGGCAAGGGTAAATCTTTCAATGTAGACACCTCTCAAAGAGCAGAATTCCTCTTAGTTTGTAAAGATTTCCAGTTACTTCCTGTTGCATTTCTAGTGACAGGAAATTAAGAAAAACTTCCCCAATGGGACAAAGAAAAAAAACGGCAGGTGTTTCAGGGGTACCTACTCTATCCAAAACTACAACAAAAGTTACGGCTATACTTACACTTTAAGTAATATTGTGCTTGGGTTGACTTGACAACAGCCAACAGACATTGATCCATTTTCTTCTTAATCATAGGGTCTACTCATCAAGCAGTGAATGTGACTTTCACCAAACATTCTCTGGTGGAGGATCAATCACCGTCATTCAAAACACATGGCCCTGGGGGATTCTCCTGCAGAGAATGTTTGCTGAATGTCAGATTCACTGCTTTGTACATATTCTCCTTGGTGTCTGCTACTTATTATAGAAAAATGCAGCATGCTCAGCAGCCAGCAGGTGGCAGGGTTTGGCAGGTGAGCCCCAGATAGGCAGAACCAATACCTTTTGTTGGTGTTCCTATCCAGTCCAGTTGGAGTCTTTTCCTCTTTTATGCTTCGTAATGCAATGGCGTAACCTGCATCATAAAACTATTTTCTTTTTATCTATAAAGTGTGTTTTATAACTAATATGATTTTCTTGCAATGAGTGCTGTCAATCCCCCCTCGTGTTCAGCACATGTGGTCTACCACCAATTTCCATAGGCTGTGTTGCGCTCATCGTTCCCTATCGTTAGTGTACGACTCTTGCCGTCTTGCTTACCTTGAAGGAGTGCTGCTGAAGTGACAGTTCTTACCTCTTCGGGCGAGCATTTTGTAAACCAGGAAGGAGCTGCAGACTACGGTCTTTCTCAATCCAAGACAAGTCCCGGCGTGAACCTTTTGCAATCTCTGCAGATCAGTCGAAAAGGATGTGCTTTCCCCGCAGCTAATATTTCTTCTAATATAAGGCAAATATTTTCGCTCTGCAGAAAAACACCAGAACTCTTTCCTCGCTGCGATTGAGTCGCCTGTGCCTGGGCCTCACCCGGCCCGTCAAGGTCTTTAGTTTACACCTACGTCAGTCATATGTAGCCTGACAACTCATACAAGCCAATTAAAGGCTTAATGTTTATTAAGCAGAACTCCACCCAACGTGTTCTCTGTGGTTTTGGATCGAGGGATGGAGAGCCCATCGGGCCTTTAGTGTTGTCCATGTCAGGGCTGAAGGATTGTCCTTCACAACCAGATCTACCATGGTAGCCAGTCCTGGAGCATCCACTTTGGACGCAGAGGATGCAGTGCATTCTATCAATAGGTTTATGGGGAATCCACTATGGAGACCTCATTCTCTTGGAAGACTTACAAGGTGGACATGATATGGCATATCATGCGGCTGAATATCAATTTTGCATGAACTGATTTTTAATATTCCCATAATCCCACTGCACACTCTGACCAAAATATTAATTTTAGATGTGGATAGGATGGGAAGGGTTTGGTAGCCCATTAGGCCTTTGGTGTTCTTCATGTCTGGGATTATGAACTGTCCCCTCACTCCAGATCTACTATGGTTACTAGTCCTCTGGAGCGTCCTCTTTTCTCTTCTCTGCAGTGCATTCTTTCAGTAGGTTTATGGAGAATCCACGATGGAGACACCAATCTCATGGAAGACCTACAAGGTGGACATGAGATGAGATATCGCGCTCCTGGATATAATGTTTGCATGGACTGATCTTTCAAATTGCCATAATCCCTGCACACTCTGCCCCACATGTTCATTTTAGTTTTGGATAGGATGGGAAGGATTTGATGCCCCATTAGGCTCTTAGTGTTGTCCATGTCTATGATAAAGAACTGTTCCTCACCCTTGGATCTACTATGGTTACTAGTCCTCTGGAGCGTCCTCTTTTCTCTTCTCTGCAGCGCATTCTTTCATTAGGTTTATGGAGAATCCATGACGGAGACACCAATCTCATGGAAGACCTACAAGGTGGACATGAGATGGGATATCGCGCTCCTGGAAGTGATGGGCAGATGGAATGCAGCGCTCACCACATAAAAGGGATTTTTTGGGGGTAAGCTTTGATTGTATTATCAGAGACACCTCTACTATGTATTCCTATTACGATGATGATGTCATAACAGAAGAGGATGTGCTGGGACTTTACGCCTCCTTTAAGGAGGATCAGTCAGTATGTGCTGTTGATCAAAGTTTAAAATGCACTGCCCACGCTCGAAGCTGCTGTGTGTGTGTGTGAAGATCGTGGACTTTGTGTGCCACAAGAGGTGCCCACTTACTGAGAGTTCATAACATTAACCCTTTCAAGACCTTGACGTATATGTGGTACTCCCTGGCCTTGAACGGCTCAAAACAAGCTCCCGTATTATTACTATACAGGATTTATATAGCGCCAACAGTTTCCGCAGCGCTTTACAATATAAGGAAGACATTATAATTACAATACAATTCAAGACCAGGTGGTAAAGAGGGCCCTGCCCCTGAGAGCTTACAATCTAAAAGGGAGGGGCCAGTGATACATGAGGAGGTAGCAGCAGCGGCTGTGAGCTTGTTCCAGTTGAGGAGGATTAAGCAAAAGTGATCTGGCTGGTTATATTTTTATGCATGAAACCCAAATGCATTAAAAACGCCACCTACTGAAGATTTTGGGCACCGTTATTTGTCACCGTGTCGCAGGCGCATGCAGTTTTGAGGCCTGACATACACTTTATTGCCAAAAGTATTGGGACACCTTTACACGCATATGAACATTAATGGCATCCCAGTCTTAGTCCGTAGGGCTCAGTATTGGGTTGGCTCCGACCTTTGCCGCTATAACAGCTTTAACTCTTCTGTGAATGCGTCCACAAGGTTGAGGAGTGTGTCTATGGGAATGTTGGACCATTTGTGAGGTCAGGTACTGATGTTGGGGGAGGGGCTCGCAGTCTCCGCTCTAATTCATCCCATAGGTGTTCTATGGGGTTGAGGTCAGGACTCTGTGCAGCCAGTCACGTTCCTCCACCCCAAACTCCCCCATCCATGTCTTTATGGACCTTGCTTTGTGCACTTGTGCGCAGTCATGTTGGAACAGGAAGGGGCCGTCCCCAAACTGTTCACACAAAGTTGGGAGCATGAAATTGTACAAAATGTCTTGGTGTGCTGATGCCTTAAGAGTTCCCTTCACTGGAACTAAGGGGCCAAGCCCAACCCCTGAATAACAAGCATCCCTACCCACCCCTATAATCCCCCCTCCCCCAAACTTTACACTTGGCACAATGCAGCCAGGCAAGTACCGTTCTCCTGGGAACCACGAAACCCAGACACGTCCATCGGATTGCCAGACAGAGAAGCGTGATTGGTCACTCCAGAGAAAATCCACTTTGTTATAATACCACTAACAGGTGACCGTGGAATATTCAGTAGCAAGGAAATGTCACAGAGGACCTAAATCCAATGATTTGGAGGGGCGTCCCAATACTTTTGGCAATATAGTGTACTTGATATTGCTTTACTCGACACAACCTCATCCCAAAAAAAAAATGGGGACTATATTGTTTTGTGTGCGGTGAAATTCATTTTAGTCTATTCTTTACTGAAAATAAAGTTATGCAAATATTGTGCAACATAAAAATTGGCAACTACTATGCTTTTATTGTACAGAGCCCTCTGCTTCCTGAGAATAGATCATATTTTGGGGGTTTTAAGTAATGCGGATGGTAACATGTGAGCGGGAAATGATGAACTTGCTCCGGGGTTGAACTGGTTAAAGGAGAACTATGAGATGAGTGATTTCCACTCACCTCATAGTTCTAGCCGACCTGTGACAATGAGACTGTCACAGGTCGGCTCAGTAGATCGGGAGGTGAGCGAATTGCTGCAGTTTTGGTTTTTATCCACTAGGTGTCGCTCTATTACGAAAAAAAAAAATACATAGGGCCGGATGCATTGGCTGATTCAGAGCTGATCTGTCCTCTGCCTGTCACCTGCATGACAGAATGATGACATAGTAGAGCAGACAGTAATTACAGACGCTGGTACAGGGAGGCGTGTAACCGTGCAATACCGCAGCCACATGAACAGCTCTGGCTGCAAAGATCCACCGTGCCCTACTCCAATTTATAATCATCAAGTGACATAGGGTATTATTATAGTTGCTGTAAGAGGGGAAGACTCCACTGGTCTTAGCAAAGGTAGACAATGTACAAGACAGGGACACCCAGGAACAGTCCAAACAGGTTTGTCCTACACTTTTATTCAGCAAGGCAGGACACCCACAGTTCCATGCAGGAGCAAAGCAAGTGCATAGAATAAAACTAGGGATGCACCGATACTAGTATCGATATTGGTGCCGATGCAGAGTATTTGGCCGAGTACTCGCACTTGTCCAAATGCTCCGAGGCCCAGCCCGATACTTCCGCTATCAGGAAGCCGACAGCACGTCATTGCACGCTGCTCTGCTTCCTGATCGGCTGGGAAGTGGCTCCAAGCTCCCTCGTGACGAGAGAGCATGGAGCCGGCTTCCCGGGCCATCAGGAAGCCGGGCAGTGTGTAATGACACGCTGCCTGGCTTCCTGGTTGGTCGAGAAGCTGGCCAATCATGAAGCCTGGAGCCGTGTAATGACACCTCATGACAAGGGCGCATGGAGCCCGCTTCCCGCCAATCAGGAAGCCCGGCCACGTCATTACACGGCGCCCGGTTGCCTGATTGTCCGGAAAGCCGGCTCCATGCTTTCTCGTCACATAGTGACGAGAAGCATGGGGACGGCTTTCCTGCTAATTGGGAAGCCGGGTGGTGAGTCTTTGCATGCCGCCTGGCTTCCGGAATGGGACTTTCAGTATCGGCGAGTACCGGAAAAAAAAATATCGGCACTCGATACCGAAATACAGGTATCGGTGTATCCCTAAATAAAAAAGGATTAGAGAGCCCATCCACCTGTCAGTTTTTTAAGGTGGGTCTGATCCAAAGCCTAATTTTAGTCTATGGGCAGCTGTTATTATTATTATATAGGTTTTATATAGCGCCAACAGTTTGCATTGTGCTTTACAACAATTGTGGAGACAGTACAATTACAATACTATACCATACAAAAGGATTAGAAGCAGTGGCGTTACTATGGGGGTGCGGCCCGCACCCGGGGTGACACCTTTGGAGGGGTGACACCAAAATGACTGGCAGTCATTTTGGTGTCACCCCCTCTAAAAAGTCAGACACTCGGTCATGGATTGTTGCAAGAGAGAGGAGGGGACCCAGCGGCATACTTTATCCCGCCCGGGTGAATGTCCCCCTCCTCTCTCTGCCAGCATCCATCACAAAGATGGCCACCGGCGGGTATCACCAAAATGGCGGTTCATGCGTGATGATGTCATCACACACGTGTGGTGACGTCACGAGCGTGCACAATGACGTCACGGCGGGGTGATACCTGCCCCTGATTAGAAGCACCCTGCCCTTGAGAGCTTACAATCTACAAGGAGGGGCCAGGGATACGAAGGTAATAACTGTGAGGGATGAGATGATTGAAGGAGTAGACGTCCAGTTTTTACAAGTAGGTGGAATAGGCTTCCCTGGCACGGTCAGTTTCCAGGGATCGCCCAAAGGCAGACAGAGTAGCAGATAGATGGGTAGGGAGTTCCATAGGATGGGAAAGGCTCTGGAGAAGCCCTGGGGGCTAGCATGGGAGGAGGTGATGAGGGAGCTAGAGAGAAGGAGGTCTTGGGAGGAGCAGAGAGGATGAATTGGGTGATAACTTGAAATGAGGTTGGAGATGTAGCCGGGGGCAGAGTTGTGGATGTAAACATGCAACCGTTTACATCCAATTATCCCCGACTCCAGTCAGCTCTGGTACACCAAACAGAACAGAGTTCCGTTTTGCCAGACCTGATCGTGGCAGATCGTGGGGTAATCTGATGC